ATATATTTTACCTTTATCTTGGTTAACATGTTTTTCAATTAGAGTATGTAATGTATAGATGTGATCAGATGTACGGTAATTTGGTAAAAATCCGATTTGGCTTCTGCTCAGTACATTGTGCGTGGTGATGAAGTCTAATAGTCGAGCATTTATTATGCTACAGAATAACTTTCCCAGGTTGCTGCTGATTCAGAAGCGCCAGATTGTCATAGCAAAGTCAGAATTACCTCCTCTCCTAGGTTCACGAAACGGTCGTCCATAAAATGCATTGCTGTTCTGTTGTAAGTAATCTTAAAGATTCCTAAATGCATCTACTTTCGGAAGGCCAAATAAAGTGCTTTTGCTTTCGCCTAGAAACACACAGAGTCTCCCTGACATGGCTGCTTCAACACTAACTGCGGTTACTGAAACCACGCCTTCTTTCTTTGCGTGCACATTTGGGCGCATTATGCAAATATTCCCACATAGTGACCTAGATATGTGGGGGCGTGTTAGAACGAGCCGTTTTAGGGTGGCGTGGCAGAGTCTTAACTTTGATAAAGAATATCTCTTTGGTTTTGAGACTTTAGTCTTTGCAACTTCAGGGATCTTATCTATGCACAATCAGCTTGTAACACTCCAAAGAGAAAGGAAAACTTGAAATCGCATCATATGACCCCTTTAAGTAGCAACGTTTTAACAAGCTACGTTTAACTATTGAAAATTTGTGTTTGATGTATAACAGTAATTTATGGTGTAGAAGAAAACATGAAAGTCTCTTAAAGTAATGTGAAACTTGTTTTGTTCATATACCAGTACACTCTTTTAAAAACCATAGGTTTTAAATTGCTTATAATCCCTTGGCGTTTAGGACAACAGCTGTACACTCTAAAAAATGCTGGGTTGTTTCAGCCCAACATAGGGTCAAATATGGACTAACCCAACTTTAGAGTTAAAAATGTAATTAAAAAATTTAAACCAACAGCTGGGTTAGTCCATATTTGACCCAAAGTTGGGTTGAAACAACCCAGCATTTTTTAGAGTGTATTGATGAAACACTTAAAGGGTGAAGACGTGGTCACATTAACGAAACTTCAGAGAAAATTTGCGGGCAGAGTTGGCCCATTGTCAATAGTGTGGTGAAGCATCTCTTACTCAGAGGTCACTTACAAACCAAGTAGCTTTATTAAATTCCCATGTTCAGAGATAACCAAACTTAAATACGATGCGAAGTTTGCATGTGGACATGTTTTGTCTCGCGTGTCCCTCATGTAAAATTCCCAATTTTTCATAGATACCTATTGATATGACTGCGTTTTGCCCGTGAAATTTTGCTGAATAACTGTAACAGTTTAGTTAAATAAAACTGAAATGAAAAAATTAAACTAAAAATGAAAATTGTCATCAATTACTTACCTTCATGTTATTCCAAACCCATAAGACTTTTGTTCATATTTGAAATACAGATGAAGATGTTTTTAATGAAACCTGTAAGGTTTCTGTCTCATCATTGAAAATATTTTACACTTCAAAATGTTCATAAAGACGTAGTAAAATGTAAACTATATTGATTAGTAAAATATTCTGAGGAGACACAATTGCTTTACATGATGATCAGATATCATTTAGGGTTTAATTCATATATGAACATTGATCATGCATGGAACTCATCAAATATGGTAAACATGAAAGTGCAAAGGTGCTTGCCCGACGTGCAAGAACAAACCTCATTAGGCATCTTTACATGCACTCAGAAATGAATCCAATGCGATTTCGGATTCTAAAAGTTATGTTTATATGAATCCTAAACCTTTCAATCCAAATCAAATTTTCATTTACATGTGCCTTTATGCATTCAGAAGAAAATCGCTTTCAGAACCAGAGAAAGCCACTGCTAATGCCACTGGAGCTACCATGAATATAATTGCCATTTTTGCCTTGATGACATAACTAAAAGGAATACGAATATGTTTTTTAGCAGATATGCCACTGAACAGTTCATAAGATACAAATAAACATGCACATTCGTAAGTAGTAAAATGTATGTGAACAGAGGGGCTTTGATAAATATATGCATCACTGCACTGCGCATGTGTGCAAGATATTTTTGAATCTGACTGAGAAGTTTGTCATATTCAAGCATTTACAGTCTTAGTTTTTTTTCTTTCCTACTGAGATTATTTCAGGTCTGCACCAACCCTTTTTATACATTCTAACTTTCATTCGGATCGAGTTCAGTTGGATTGATTCAGGTGTTTACATGAAGGCTTTTTAATCCAATTGAGCCATCAGTCTGATCACTAATGGATTATTTGGTAAATGTATTGAAAACGGATGGATTGCTTGATTAATACAGATCTTTATTTTTAAATGCGTGAAAGTTTCGGTTGCGTGGACTTTCAGCAGTTACACAAAGAGGATGAGAGAATATAAAAAATATCATCATTTGTGTTTCGAAGATGAACAAAAGTCTCATTATAGATTGGAACAACATGAGGGTGAGCAAATGACAACACAATTTTCATTTTGGGTCTTTAAAGAGATTGATTACCTCCCTGTATATTTTTTTATTTATTTGCACCCCACTGTGACGATTAAGAACTAGACTTTAATTTTCTAGAATTGCCTCTTCAAAACTCACTACCACAGTGTCAGGGTGCTGTGGGTGGTTGCCAGAGCTTGCTATGTGGTTCCTAAGGTATTCTGGGTGGTTGCTATGTGGCTGTTCACTAGTTCAAGTCAAAACAAAAGCCCATCCCCAAGTCTCTGTGATATTCTGCTTCCTATAGGTTCCTCCTTAAATTTATCAGATTATTTGGGAATCATTCCTTAGCGCAAACTTTACATATGACATTTAATTCTCAGTTACGAAATTTGATAAAGCAAAATGAGCAATATGAAACGTGATGCTTGTCATAGCATCCCCCACTCTTATGTCATTGTTTTGATGAGAAGAGGAAAACA